ATGTTCAAACATTATTGATAATTCCATATGTTTATAGCATTATGAAGACATTATTAAGGAAAATAACTGAGACAGAATTTACAATGCAATTCTAATAATAAGTAAATTTATATAACATAATAGTAACCTGATAATATGGCACAGAAACTTATTAATCAATGTTTTAATCTGACTAAATCTACCCTTGCTTGAAATCAGGTCATACTTGAAGTGTAATGAGGAATATCATTTAGATCAACCTACTAAATCTACCCCCAGCATAACAGCTAACAGCTAGTCTGGATCTTAATTTAATTTATTCTAAACTAACAACTGCAACCTATTAAAATAATAAATTATATGAAGCACAAATGCTTTATATATGCCTTATCATAAAGGACAAAAATGTCAAACAACATCCTCCAAAAACTGTCTCTAAGGTCCCCAAAGAAGCACCAAAATGTCATTCACAACATCCTCCAAAAGTTGTCTCTAAAGTCCCCAAACTGTCTCAGAACGTCACCCTACAAGGTAGAAAAGAATGTCAGACAAAGAAGGCTACACATAAGAAAAGAGAAAGAGTCCTTTCGACCCCCGAAGGGCCAACGATAAATCCGTTCGGCAGGTGAAAATCTTGTCGCGCGTTTAGCCCGGTTGCAGGGGTGTTCGTGTCTCGTCGTTGGTGGACGCGAAAGAATTATTTCCACGGGACACGATGCAACAGATCCCACACGTGGTGGAACAACGTTGGTTCCATGGCAAGGACAAGAGGATGGGCTTGTTTCCACCGGTACTTTCCGCGCCACCCGTTGCATGCCTGGGTCTATAACCCCGACGAGGTGTCCCCAGGTATGCCTTATCCGAGCCGAGATCGCGCAGTAAATTTATCCGTGTTGCGCACCGCACCGCCACGAGGAGAACGGAATCTTTCGGGCATTATTATTTTCATTAGGATTTGTGACTCATCGCGACGAGCGGACATTTATTCGGTCGACTCGCACGACACCTACGTCATACGATTCACGCGGTCGCCATTATTTTAGCTTTTGGCGTTCTGTGGACTCGTTATATTGTTCTTTAATTTTGGTCCTTGGAACACCCTCAAATTTTCCAATTTTCAGATTTATAAATTTTCAAGTTTTCAGATGTACAAATTGTCAAGTCTTAAGATGTTTTAAGTTTAAAATTGTCAGATTTCTCGACCTATGGGTATCCTCAAATTTACAAATTTCCGTATCCCCAAATTTACAAACTGAATCTTCAAATTTTTGAATTCTCAAATTTTTGTTCAAGTCTCTACATTTCCAAATCTCTAAATTCTTAATATTCCTAAATTCCGTGCTCTCCAAATTTTAACGCATTGAATTTTCCACGCGTTGGACTTGCCGTGCGTTGAATTTGCCGTGCGTTGAATTTACCGTGCGTTGAATTTGTCACACGTTGAATTTTCCGCACGTGTATTTGCCACGCATTGGACTTGCCGTGCGTTGAATTTGCCGTGCGTGCATTTACCGTGCGTTGAATTTGCCGTGCGCCGAATTTTCCGTGCGTATATTTGCCACGCATTGGACTTGCCATGCGTTGAGTTCGCCGTGCGTGAATTTACCGTGCATTGAATGTGCTACGCGTTGAATTTGCAATGCGTTGAATTTACCGTGCGTTCAGTTTACTACGCGTGAGATTTTCCGTGCGTTGAATTCACCGTGCGTTAAATTTGTCGTGCGTTGAATTTACCGTGCGTTGAATTCGGCACGCGTTGAATTTTCCGTGCGTTGAATTTACCGTGCGTTCAGTTTGCCACGCGTGGGATTTGCCGTGCGTGAATTTACCGTGCGTTGAATTTTCCGTGCCTTGAATTTGCCACGCGTTGAATTTTCCGCGCGTTGTATTTGCCCCGCATCGGACTTGCCTTGCGTGAATTTACCGCGCGTTAAAATTCTTAATATTCCTAAATTCCATGCTCTCCAAATTCCTACACCATGAAGTCCCTGGACTCCCATTTCCCTAAGCCTCAAATCTCGATGTCACAAACACCCATATTCTAAATTCCTACATCTCCAAATTCCGTTCTCCAAACTATCACTACATTGTTATCATCACTAACATTATCACATACTACTATAAAATATAAATATCGATGGCTATTGATCAACATAAAAATATTAATATTGCTATTATTATTTGTACCTCTTCATGTTAAATTCTAATCATTACAGTTATGAATAAATAAATATAATCTTAAAGCTACAATTCACATCTGAACATTTCACCGCCATATTGTATCGTTTCATTTCACCTTTATTTCCATTTTGTACCTAAAATGATGAGAAAAACGTGGCCCGCAATTTTATAGCCATCGGCAGACACGATGTCGTTCGAAACAACGCCGTGATAATGATCGAAGGCGCGGCTCTGGTTTTATTAATCGACCAGTTCGTAAATAAGCTCCGGTTCGAAATTCCGTTGGGTCCCCAACCGTGGCGAGATCGATTCGTTCGCTTTCCAGAAACAGAAACGGTCAGGAACAGTTTGAACGTGGGACCGTCAAGATTCTATCTTACGAAACCACACCGTGATGTCCTCGAGTCCTTAAGGTCGTCACTTGACCGCAGGATCCCCCGAAACTGTGCAATCTTTGATGTTTATCCTTATCGGATGCTTGTACCTTGTATTACCTAGATACTCTGATAAGACCACCAGAAACTATCTTAACAATTAATTTCACTATTTACATACTTAACGGGAAGGTATGCGAAGGGATAATTTAAGTAACAAGGCAAGCTTATCTTCAACCTCTAACTTTTTTCAAGAATTTGATAATGTGGGAATTTGTGGAGTTAGAAGAGTAATTTAGAAATTTGTGGAGCTGAAAATTTGGTCATGTAGTTTGGTAATTTAAGACTAGTTTGGAGTTCAGGGGTTTGAGAACCTTGAAATGTGAAAATTTCAAAGAGTTTGGTAATTTAAATGAACCCTGAAGAGTTTGAATAATTAGGGATTTGTGGAGTGAAAAATTTGACAATTTAAAAATTCGGTACTTGGAGGCAAAGGTAATTGTGGGTTGCAATTTCTGGGATGTGATTTGGGTAATTCAAAGGTGACCAAATGTCCGAATTCCCAAAATTCCAAATAACCCAAGTTCCCTTGAAATGTGAAAATTTCAAAGAGTTTGGTAATTTAAATCTAATGGACACTGAAGAGTTTGAGTAATTAGGGATTTGTGGAGTGAAAAATTTGACAGTATAAAAATTTGGTACTTCGAGGCAAAGGTAATTGTGGGTTGCAATTTCTGGGATGTGATTTGGGTAATTCAAAGGGAACCAAATGTCCGAATCCCCAAAATTCCAAATAACCCAAGTTCCTACTCGGAAAATCACATCTCGAATATAAAAATCTGCAGCTTTTTGCCAAAACCAAAATGCTGCAGATCTTTACGAGCGGACAATCGCCACATCTCGGCGTTCCTTATCGAATCGTGTTCTCATACAAAGGTTAGCAGAAACGATACGTGTGGGGCCCGTGACGGCCGTCCAGGTGGCTGCATTCCAATTAATATTCCCGACGCGGATCCTAGTCCGTATTCGTGGTTTCGCGATCCGTGCGCTCGGACGAGATTACTCGCGCTTTGGAAGCGAGTCCAATATAATTACGGACGAAAGAGGCAGAGGCCGGTGATCGGCAGTGACTCGAAGCGGAAGAGGATAGGGCCGGAGAATAATATCGTGTAAGATAATACCCGCGTCGATGCGTAAACTACCATGGAAGAGGGTACTCTGCTTCCCTCGGGTACTTGTGAATTAAGGGTAGTGAACTAACCGAAGGGTGGGGGTGAAAAAGAAACGAGGAAAGAATAGTACGTATAGCAGGGGAAGGGAGAGACAGGGAGAGACGTCTCGTAAACTCGATTTAGCAGGCTGGACCTCCTCGAAGCCCAAGCACGTGGGACCTGAACGGTCTCTAACTTTCTTTCTCTCTTTTCTCTCTCTCTCTATCCGACCTCTTCCACACTCTCTACATCCAGGTACGAGCAATCGTTAAGCGCTTGTTTTACAAGTCGTTTAGACGTGACCGCCGCGATACGGCACTGTCTCCGATGCAAGTGCCACGACACTTGTCTACGGGGTGTTTTCGAGAACCGGTCCACGTTCGCCAGGCTACCGAGATGATAACGGTCTACCTTGTCTTCGATTTTGACATTCTGGATAGTTGGTGGCTAGGTTTTGAGGGGGATAACTGGGTTTTGATGGTAGGACACTCTGGGATGGTCATTTGATGATTTGGATATTGTGGAGTTTCACTATTCATAATAACCATGTCTAGATTTGTATGTTGTTGAATAATTGTATTTAGAAATTTACAGATTCTTATATTTTTAATTCCCATGTCTCAAAATGCTTTCTTTCTAGAATTATGCAAGTCTTCATATTGCTAAATTCCTAAGTCTTCAAGCTTCTAAGTTTTAAAATTTACCCAAGTCCCTTAATATCCAGGTCCACAAATATCGCAGCCTCCAATGGTTCCAGTCTCCAAATGTCCCAACCTCCAAATGTCTCAGTCTCCAAATGTCCCAACCTCTAAATGTCTCAGTCTCCAAATGTCCCAACCACCAAATGCCCCAGTCTCCAAATGTCCTAATTTCCAAATGTCCCAGTCTTCAAATGTCCAGTCTCCAAATGTCCCAGTCTCTAAATATCCCAACTTCCAAATGTCTCAGTCTCTAAATGTCCAGGTCCTAATATGTCTCAGTCTCAAAATATCCCAGCATCCAAATGTCCCAACCTCCAAATGTCCCAGCCTTCCAATGTCCCAGCCTCCAAATGCCCCAGTCTCCAAATATCCAAGTCCCAAAACCACCAAATCCCCATCCTCCTAAACATCCAAATCCCTAACTCCCCAAACCTCCAATTCCATTACATCCTACCACCAATCCACATCTTTCATCAATACCCTCCACACCAAATCTCCTATCTCCACACCTAACATCTCTACCGAATCTAACCAATATCTCCATCTGTTCGCAGTGGCCAAAGAGAGGACAAAGCGCACGTCGGCGGCTTGGGCGACACAAGCAGCGAGAGCGGCGACGACACAAAGAGGCAGGCAGTTAGCCAACAGCAGCAACAGCAACCTCCCTCCTGCGCGGTTCAACAACAACAGCAGCAGCAACAATTGGTGGAGCACCAGCAGACGTCCAGCATGTACCAGCTTCCGCCTCCGGTTTCGGTTTCCAGCCCACACTCGTACCACCAAGGCCACGGCGCGACCTTGAGTCATCCTCACACACCGAGCCACCACATGCAACACCACGACACCGGCAGCGAGAGCGGCGACGACAAGCGAAACCTTCATCATCAGCTGCAACATCATCTCCAGGTCGGTGCTCATGGTACTCCTCACGGCTTGGTACATCCCACGGCGACCTTGCCACCGCCACCACCCAGCTGCGCCCAACAGAAGACCCAGTTGGACTATATGCAGTACTATAGTCCACAGGTATAGTGTGATGAACTGTTACTGCGGTTTCGTTCGGAACAGAGGGCTTATTTCAGGTGGAGGACTGTTTTGGGTTAGAGGACAATGTGTATCGTAGGTGATGTTGATGTTTGTAATCGGGGACGGTCTATATGGAGGGTCATATGGAGATTGTTTTATGGGGTAGTTAGTTAGGGTAGAATATGGGGAATTTGTATGTGATGAGTGGTAACGAAAATTTTAAGGGAGTACTTCAGGGATGGGAAATAGGGAAGTTTGGAAGTTGGGATAGAGGGAAATTTAGGGATTGGGAAATAGGGAAATTCGGGGGATGGGAATAGGGAAATTTGGGAGTTGGGATGTAGGGAAATTTGGGAGATGGGAATAGGGAAATTTCGGAGTTGGGAAATAGGGAAATTTGGGAGATGGGAATAGGGAAATTTGGGAGTGGAATATAGGGAAATTTGGGAGTGGGATATAAGGAAATTTGGGCGATGGGAATAGGGAAATTTGGGAGTTGGGATATAGGGAAATTTGGGCGATGGGAATAGGGAAATTTGGGAGTTGGGATGTAGGGAAATTTGGGAGATGGGAATAGGGAAATTTCGGAGTTGGGAAATAGGGAAATTTGGGAGATGGGAATGGGGAAATTTGGGAGTGGTATATAGGGAAATTTGGGAGTGGAATATAAGGAAATTTGGGCGATGGGAATAGGGAAATTTGGGAGTTGGGATATAGGGAAATTTGGGCGATGGGAATAGGAAAATTTGGGAGTTGGGATGTAGGGAAATTTGGGCGATGGGAATAGGAAAATTTGGGAATTGGGATGTAGGGAAATTTGGGAGACGGAAATAGGGAAATTTGGGAGTGGGATATAGGGAAATTTTGGGGGTTGAGAAATAGGGAAATTTGGGAGTTGGGATATGGAGAAATTTAAAAGTTAAAGAAAGTATCAAGTAGAACACCTAGAAACCAGTACTGGAATATTTTCATTTCCTCGTCTCAAGATTCAACTTGCTAACTCAACTCCTGTTCTTTGCTTTCGATTCTTAACTAACAAATAATTCTATAATTTCCTATTAAAATAAAGCAATTTTATAAACTATCTTTCTATCGCTTGCTATTCCTCTTGCTTATCTAAAGATGCACACTTAAACTCTTTTCCTTGGGTAAAATGGCGAGATAGTAAGGAAGCCTACATAGCCTAATCCAAATTCTGCTATGATTCTTTAACGAGGTCCTCTTCGATGTTGCAGGATTACCTGATCACACCAACCTCGGCGGACCTCCAGAAGTCCCTTCCGCACACGGCCACGTCGATGCAGATGGGTGCTATAGCTCCTTCCATGGGTGGGCTTAGCCCGATGGGTCCGTCGACGATGCTACCGAACACGATGCAAGGCGTGAACACTATGAACACGATGTCGATGAACGGCATGGGCATGGGTGCCTACCAGGGCATGGGTTCCATGGGGATGTCCACGTCGCACGGTAGTTATCACAGCGGTCTCGTCCTGGGTGATTATCACTCGTTGTGACCTTGGGCCCCGAGCAGTCAGGGCAAAAGGAACCAAGAGAAAACCTAACTCGTTTCGATTCGTAAAAGGGTCTGCCAACGGAATTGTTCCCGTGATGTTCGCCGAGTCGCTAAGCTTTAACAAAAGGACGTTTTGTCCCGGATTACCCGTTGGGTATACTAATCGCGCTCGGTGAATGTGTAGGTAATTAGGAAACGCGTTCTATTTCGCTCTTGAAGCGGAGAATGATTCGTCGAGACGTTCTCGATCGTAAATAAGACACAAGTCTGTTGAACATCGTGTGATTAGGCTGAGGAACACAGAATATGTTAATGCTGTTTTGGCCGATGGTGATTTAACGTGTTCAGCTATGTCTGAAGACTTCAAAGGTGAACTTGCAGGACGGGTGATTTATTAAGACATCAAATCAACTGGGTGATGTATTAAGATGTCAGACTTGAATTTACTAACTGATAGCTTGAGATGTCAAACTTAGAGAACTTGCCAGCTGATGTTTTTAGACGTTATACTTAATGAGGTGGACTGGGTGATATCTTAAGACATGAGTACTCACTATCTTAATAATATCAAACAGGGTGAAGTTAGGTCTTGAGCAAACTTAGCGGATTTATCAGTTAAGTCATGTCGTGAGACATCAAACTTGGCAGACCAGCCAGGTCATGTCTTAAGGTGTCAAACTTAATGAACTCGTCAGGTCTTAAGACACCACACATAAAGAACTCACTAAGTACTTGAGAATATCAAACTGGGTGAACTCACCAGATAGGTCATACCTTAGGACGGCAAACTTAGCAAACTTACCAGCCAGGTCATGTCTTAAGAAGTCAAATTTAATGAATTGTCTTAAGACATTACACATAAAGAAATTACTAAGTGCTTAAGAATATCAAACTGGGTGAACTCACCAGACAGGTCATATCTTCAGATATCAAACTTAGCAAACTTACCAGCCAGGTCACAACTAGAGACGTCAAACTTATATGAACTTATCAGTCAGGTGATGTCTTAAGACGTTACACTTAAGGAACTCAGTAAGTGTTATTGTAAAAACATCAGACTGGGTGAACTTATCAGCCAGGTGATGTCTTAGAACTCCAAACTGAATGTCTTGAGACATCAAACTAAATGATGTCTTCAGAAATGAAGCTAGGTGGTGTCTTAAGACATAAAATTGATAGAACTTATCAGTCAGGTGAAGACATCAAACTCAATACAGAATTAGTTAATTAAAATTTGGATGTCATAAACAATTTTACAACCCATCTAAAATTATCAGTTTGTTGATATGTCATATTACGCAGTTGGGCCTGAACATGTTAACACCTCACAAAAATTGTGTTGCCAAGATGTCAAGTTTTACAAAATGTTTTCAAGACATTTCGCAGGCTGAACACTAAAATCCATACATTAAACACAAGTTATGAAATATTAATGGAAAATAAACGTGGAATGTCTTCAGCAGATGTAATCACGCGATGTCCAGACTTTTTAAGAACCGAGAAGCACCGTTGCGACCACAAAATGGCGCCCGCGTGCGCACCCACACCGTTCTCCCTACAGAGGGAGCTGATAGTAGAATATTATTATTATTATCATCGATAGTAGCCGTGGAAAGAGAGGAAAATGGAGGCAACGGGGGAAACGCTTCCGGGTGGAAAATAGCAAAAGACATGTTAGCATTTTTTTTCTTTTTCCGTACAGCGTAGGGCGCGAGACAAGCCAGAGCCTAATTACTTCCAGAAACGCGAGCCGTATGATGGCGCCGCATATTCTTTCGTTCTTTTCTTTCTTTTTTTTCCCGCGAATCCCATCGTACCCCTCTAATCTCGTAGCGAACCGTACCTTAGGTCCCTCGGAATAAGAGAACACGCATAACGTTATTTACGGTTACCAGTAGACGGTTCAGACTCTGTACAAGCTTCAGCAAACCGCTGCCAAATTCGCTTGACCTCTTCGGATGCCGTGTTGAAACGTTTGTATGAAAAATTGAAAATTAACGAGCCGCGTTCTCGTCCAACTTTGCGGGGACGTTGCATGATTGATTGGCCGAGCTATTATAGCGAGACACTCGGATTTGGACCATATTGTGATTTTGAAGGAGGTAATGAAGCGTTCTTAACACTTTGACGCCCGCTTTATTTGCAGTCAGGGATGTGGTTAGCTAAGAAAAATTGGGTGCTTTTGTATTTACAATTTCTTCAATTTATGAACTTGTAAATTTTTATTCGTGCAACTTTTCACATTCTTAAATTTTTAAATTGTTAGAAACTTATGTTCAAATATTACATAAACCATGGGAATTAAAGTGTTGAACGCTCTAATCAAACTATTGCATAACAAACAAATTTTCATAAATTAAATTAGTTAAAATTTTTGCTATTTTTCGTGAATAACGTATCTCGATTTCACGAACACGAAAAAGCACGGCAAACGTCGATGGTTCCCGAAGAACATTCATTTTCCAAAGTCCAGAATAATTCCTGAGGCGTGTACGGATCTCAGCCAGCCGCTAATTAATTAACGTCGCTATAACGAACCACACACGCTCTTCACACACCACAGTCTCCTTCCTTCCTTACACCGTATGCTTCTGTGTTTGTCCTGTGTACATATGTAGATAATACACACACGCGTAACAACACTTACACGTAATCACACGAACACACACACACATAGACACGCATCTACACGTATTCGAGAGAAGATTAAGTTAATTCTCGTCCGTACTTGAGGCGAGTACCGGGTGTTCGCGAATCAACTTCGCGGATCGCGATTTTCATTCTCTTTCTCTTTCTGTTCTGATACGCGATTATTCGAAAAACTTGCCTTATTTATGACTTTACGCTTGTTCCTCTCGTTTCTATCTCATGGTTCTATCAATTCGAGATCTTAACCGTTGCGAGACTGTTCTAGAGGTTTGTACGTGTTTTACAGTGGAGATGTTCTTTTTGTTTTTGGTGGAGGTATCTCTTCATTAACCCTTTTATTATACAGTGTATATGTTGGGGAGAATTTAGAGGTTGTTGAAAATGAGAATTGTTAGTTGATGTTCAAATTTTCAAAACTCCACATTTAAAATTCCAAATTTTCAGATTATCAAATTTTCGAATTTTTGATTTCTAAAATTCCAACTCCAAAATTTCAAAATTTTCAAAATTCTAAATTCAAAATTACCAAATTCTAAATTTGCTAAATCCACATTTTCGAACTCCAAAATTTTCAAATTTTCGAATTCTAAAATTTCCAAATTCCAAACTGTCGAATTCCAAATTTTCCAAATTCTAAATTTTCGAATTCCAAAACTTCCAAATTCCAAATTTTCGAATTCCAAAATCTCCAAATTCCAAATTTTCGAATTCCAAAATTTCCAAATTCTAAATTTTCTAATTCCAAATTCTCGAATTCCAAAATTTCCAAATTCTAAATTTTTTCGGATTCCAAAACTTCCAAACTAAAATTCCAACTCCAAAATTTCAAAATTTTCAAAATTCTAAATTCAAAATTACCAAATTCTAAATTTGCTAAATCCACATTTTCGAACTCCAAAATTTTCAAATTTTCGAATTCTAAAATTTCCAAATTCCAAACTGTCGAATTCCAAATTTTCCAAATTCTAAATTTTCGAATTCCAAAACTTCCAAATTCCAAATTTTCGAATTCCAAAATCTCCAAATTCCAAATTTTCGAATTCCAAAATTTCCAAATTCTAAATTTTCTAATTCCAAATTCTCGAATTCCAAAATTTCCAAATTCTAAATTTTCTAATTCCAAATTGTCGAATTCCAAAATTTCCAAATTCTAAATTTTCGGATCCCAAAACTTCCAAAT